GGCAGTGAATTCATTATTTCAGTTGGAATCCTATCACCCCATAGCTCTGAGCCCAAGAATTCAGGATAATTGTCAATCTTGGTAAAGCAAGCAAAAGTTCAGGAATTTCTAAACTATGCTTTATATCTTTGCAGCTACCTATATTTGTTTCTAACAACCCCCATGCTCTAGATGGGAGAACAGATAAGTCACTATTAAAATAAAATATAATTTTCAGTTCAGGATAAAGCAATAAATTATCAGTTATACTTCTTATTTCCAGTAACAGCCACAGTCCAGGCAGTCTGCAACAACAGCCTCAAAGAAAAACCTGCTGTGTCCATGTACTAAGCCTGAATGGAATAATCTTTCTATTTTAGGCTTAAAAATGACGCATTAAGACATGAAAGGGAAAAGAAATGTGAGTTTGCTGTGAGAGATCATTGCAGCACTCACAACATATTCTGTAGGACTTGTGCTCTGTCAGCTGGATGCCCTGTGAAGGAGAAAAGGGAGGACACTGCAGGCAGACTGCCCAAAGCACAAGATGTAGAGCACTGCTAGAGCCTGTCCCCTTAACCAGGCTGGGTCTGGTCAAGGAATGCTGGATTCTACAGTATTTACCAAGGTGGATGCTGGTGTGTTGCAGATACCATTCATTATATTATGGACAACAGGCAAAATGAGGGTTATAAAATGGCACCACAGCTCTCTGTAAAAAAAGAATGCTGCAGCAGAAACTCCACCCAAATCAGTGCCTGGCAGCAGTTGTGAAGACAAAGAAGTGGATGCTTTCTGTGCATGCTGCTACCAGAGAGAAGTCATTGCCCTCAGCATCTCCTTTTCCCCCTCACGGCACATCCAGATGATGTTATGCTCTCCAAGACAAAATATGTATATGCAAAAATTTCTCACAATAAAACTGTTTCTCCCTCTGCCTGACATTTTTACAAGGGGAAACAACAACAAAAAAAAACCACCCCATAAAAACAACAACAACAAAAAAAAATCACAGAAAAAAAATTATTAAAACACTAGTTATGAATTGCTAGAAAGAGGTACACAACCTCTTGTTTTTTTTCCAGAGACTGCATAACTATACGCAGATTTACATCACTGTTTCACCTTGTGAAAGAAGTTGAGGGTTACACAAGCACAATTCTAGTCCTGAGTCAATCACAGCTCAGCCCTAATTTTCACACACAGTTCTGCTGACATCAGTCAATTTTACTTCAAAGCTTCTACATCTGCAATTCTGGAATGCTGGAATTTTTGGCCAGACTCACTAATCAGGTTGAATTCAGTGTGTAACCCCAGCAGCTCTTAGAGAAAGACAAGCAGAAACACCTATTCATTCAGGAGCTCGTGCAGATTCCTGCTATTCAGCAAAACCTGCTGCTAAACTGGAGGTTGTAATGCCAACAGACTGGGAAGATGGGGACACTCACTGAAACAGCAGCGACCCGACGAGGCTGTGTCACCCCAACAACTCTTCCTTCGGCTGTCCAGCCAGCTTCTGCCAGGTACTGCAAACAACAGTGGGGATAAGAGAGACACTGGTCATGCTGGCCTTACACCAAGGTGTTAGTTCCTCACACTTTGTGTTTTCACCTGGTTCTGCTCAATATTCCATGTAAAAATCCCCTGAGGGACTACCTGATTTTACCAACCTAAACAGACACTTACTTGTGGAATCTGCGTTGATTTCCCACATCCTGTTTCCCCAATAATCACCAGAGTCTGGTAGTTCTCCACTAGGTAAAGTATGTGATTTCTTAGCTGAAAGAGAAGATGACATTTAAACATAAAAAGCAGATTGTACAAAAATAAGAAGACAATTAAAATTACAATATTTACATATCTGGCAGACACAGTAACTTCTTGTTACATGGAGTTCACTGCCAAAAGATGAACAGTCCTTTAAAATCTATAAATGACATGTACAGCATATAGTAAATAACATCCATCAACAAAGCCCTTAGAACTGTCAGTTACAGTGGCCAAACAGGACAATAAATTCCAATAGAGAGCAAAGCCAGAAAATAAAACCAAAGAACCACAAGAACCAGTCATCATACAACACATTTAATATATCAAAAAGAACTCCTGTACCTTAAAAACAGGCAGCTTTTGCCTTTGCTGTTCAATGGAGAGGGAAGCATAAGGGTTGTAGATGACAGTCACAGCGCTGCTCTCAGCAGGGCTCTGCCTCTCCTCGGAGACACTGACACCAGGACCTTCTGAGCCTACACAACAGGAGTGAATTTTAACTGGAACAAGACACTTCTGCCTGGTGTATCACAACACAGCCAAAATAAGTATGTTTCATACAAATAGGAATCATGGGTGGCAGCATATTAAAAATAAACAAGTTATCTGTGAAAGCAATCAAAATATTACCTAACAATAAACAAGTGATATGCCCCTTGCTTCAGCTTTGAACTTACCTCAGGAGCTGAAATGTGATTTATTCCTCCTGCAAATTATCACAAATCTACTGACAACTGAAACTGTGCAATCATGCAAGTGAACTAGGGACAGCAACTCATCTCAATAACAGAATGGGTCACCTCCAGCTGCAGATTCAACCAGGAAAGTCTGAGAGCAAAGAGGATTCCCCTGTTTTGTAGGATTGCCTAGCTTGCACTTCTCCCCTGTTAAAAGGTTAGTCCTTTTCAGAAGTGTCACGCAGTTCTAGCACAATCAACAATTACCATCATTGTTTCCAAGGTGCTTGTCCATTGAGCTGCTCTCCCTGGTGTTACCCAAGGTTATTCCCAGCCATGGCCAGGATTTTGCTCCTCGGGATTGCCCTGCACACTTCATATCCCCTCGAGATCCCTGCAAAGGGCAGCACACCCACCCCACAAACCACCCACTCCATCCCCTGTCCTGCCTCTCTATAGCGGGCAGCACCCCGCTGGAGCCACAAACACCCCTGGGCTTTGGCAATGAGGGGACAGCCATTTCCCCACTGCCCTCATTCAATCTTCGAGCTTGGAAAACACCTTCAAGATCATCCAGCACAACCATCACCCCTGCAGCACCACTGTAATCCCTAAACCACATCACCCAGCTACAGATTCAGACGCCTCTTAAAAACCCTCAGGGATGGTGACTCCATCACCTCCCCGGGCGAATTATTCCAATGCCTGACCACCGAACAGGGAAATAAAAAATTATAACAGCTATCGGGAATCTCCCGTGTCTCAGTTTAAGGCTATTTCCCCTGGTTCGCTGGCGGCAGACACGGCAGAAGGGACCGGCTCGCACCTCAGCACAGCCTCCTGTCAGGGAGTTGTAGGAGAGATGAGGTCACCCCTAAGCCTCCTCTTCTGGAGACTGAGCGAGCCCAGCTGCCCCCGCCGCCCCTCGTACGACACGTTCTCGAATCCTTCCAGAGCCTTGCTGCCCTTCACTGTAAATGCGACCCCAAAGAGCCGAGCGGGGCAACGCACGTTCGCCGCACCCCTCACCACGGCCAGGCAGCTCGGAGCTCTGTCCCCCACAGCCCTCCCCACAGCCAGCAGGGCTCCGCTCCCCACGGCGAGGCCCCGTGCCCCGCACCCCCACATCCCGCACCCCCCCAGCCCTCACCCGGCTTCCAAAACTTCACCGGCCCCACGGGCGCCGCCATCTTGGGGTGAGAGGGCGGCCGGAAGCGGCGCCCACGTGACGCGGCCCGCGTTGCCATGGAGACCGCGGCCCTGCCGGGCCCCCCCCACACAGCCACAGCTGCGCTTGTTCTACCTGCGCTTCCTTCTTCCCTGCGCTTCCTTCTTCCCTCTGCCCTTCCTTCTTCCCTGTGCCCTTCTTCCCTCTGCCCTTCTTCCCTCTGCCCTTCCTTCTTCCCTCTGCCCTTCTTCCCGCTGCCCTTCTTCCCTCTGCCCTTCCTTCTTCCCTCTGCCCTTCCTTCTTCCTTCTGTCCTTCCTTCTTCCCTGTGCCTTTCCTTCTTCCCTCTGCCCTTCCTTCTTCCCGCTGTCCTTCTTCCCTCTGCCCTTCCTCTTCCCGCTGTCCTTCTTCCCTCTGCCCTTCCTTCTTCCCTGTGCCCTTCTTCCCTGTGCCCTTCTTCCCTCTGCCTTTCCTTCTTCCCTCTGCCCTTCCTTCTTCCCTGTGCCCTTCCTTCTTCCCTGTGCCCTTCTTCCCTCTGCCCTTCTTCCCTCTGCCCTTCCTTCTTCCCTCTGCCCTTCTTCCCTCTGCCCTTCCTTCTTCCCTCTGCCTTTCCTTCTTCCCTCTGCCCTTCCTTCTTCCCTCTGCCCTTCTTCCCTCTGCCTTTCCTTCTTCCCTGTGCCCTTCCTTCTTCCCTCTGCCCTTCTTCCCTCTGCCCTTCTTCCCGCTGCCCTTCTTCCCTCTGCCCTTATTCTCGCTGCCCTTCTTCCTTCTTATGCCCTTCTTCCCTCTGCCCTTCTTTCTTCTGCCCTTCTTCCCTCTGCCCTTCTTCTCGCTGACCTTCCTTCTTATGCCCTTCTTCCCTCTGCCCTTCCTTCTTCCTCTGCCCTCCTGGTGCAAACCGGGATCGGCCGAGGCCCTGGCACACAGCAGCTGTGGCTGCCCCTGGATCCCTGCAAGTGTCCAGGGCCAGGTGGGATGGGCCTTGGAGCACCCTGGGATGGTGGAAGGTCCCAGGGGTTAGGATGAGATCTGCTTTAAGGTCTTTTTCAGCCCTACCCATTCTATGGCCACCAGGGAGAGCACATAGGATTTAAATGTGTTTAAAGATCACTGCCCAAAAGTCCCTGCTCGTTAATTAATTAGAGCTGATTCCTTCTCCAGTGGAGGATGGCACTACCCACACCATAGCTGCTGCACTTTGCACCAGGCAGCTGAAGGACAAGAAAGAAAATTATCACACTAATAGTGAACAGACACAGCTGTGCCCCACCACGGGCTGCTCACAGCCTGTTTAAACCACAAACACATCCATGAAAGCCCGTGGAAGTCACTATTGAATCAAACTTAATGCAGGCTTTGACTTAATTAAATAAAAGCTAAAGGAAATACAAAATATAGAAAGCCCAAACTGTTTCTAGTAAGTTTATTAATACTGTCATATATTCATGCTTATGTGAAAGTAAAAATCTAATCACATCCTATATTCTTATAACTTCCCACGCTAGCAGTGCAGTTATGGTGATTAACACAAACACAACCCTCTACCTCCATGGTCACTTGTTATGCTGAGTAACCACATGTAAAAGAGGTTATTAAGTTATAATTATGATGTCCTTAAAGTTCTAACTATATGTTTCAATGTACTTTTGATATTAAGTTCACACTATCAAAAAAAAACCCCACAACTCACAGTATTTTTTATCATCAATATATTAGTAATTGTTAAGAAAAAATCCCACATGGAAAGAGCTGCCTATTAAAATAATGAGATTAATTACAAAGTGGAGAAGTTATGCTTGAGAAAATATATACATATAATTATTATGAAAATAAGACTGCACAAACAGTATTTTGCATAGATTCCAACACTGTATGGGGTTTGCCTTTATGGAAAATATAGCTAAGAATAAAAATACATATTTCAAACTTCTTTACATCTGGATAGCAGTTAATAGTACAAAGCTATAAACTCTTGAATATTTACAGATTAGGAGGCCAGAATGATTACATTTCCATGATGTCAGTGCAAAAGAAAGAGGGCCCAGATTAGTTGCATACTAATTAGTAGATTTCTCCAGTGTCCATTTTTGCAATCTTACATTTCTGTAAGATCCACTTGTCCAGTTTAATGTCACCTTGCTGCTGTTTAGCTGAAACCCATGTGAAATTCCCCTGCCAAGTTGTTACCTTCCCCTCTGAAGCCCAGAACCCACAAGACACCCACACAAGCACATATCTGAGTATTTTGCAGTAGAAGAGCCACAAGAACAATTGAGAAATTGAAAAAAAGGGTTGAGCTACTGAGCTATGACACTGCCAACCCATCAGCTTAAAATACGCATGAACAGGTTGAGAAATGAAAATTTAACAGGATAGTAGAAGTCAATACTGGCTTTATAGTATTCTTCAAACAAAGCCACAATTCCAGTTTCACTTTCTGTCAGTCTGAGGTTTCTTTCCCAGCTGCCCTCACAAACACACTGCAAGAGCGCTGGACAGGGATGGACAAACGTGGCTCCTGAGGTTCTGCTGCTTGCTCTGCATGGACATGCAGCTCATCTCTCTATGATCCAGTGTGGCCTCATAACCAGGGAGCCATTCCTCTTAGTCAGCGGGGGAGAGGTGTGCATCGTGTTATTTGGGGTGTACACAGCCTCCCTGGAGGCGTGCAGCCAGCTTCTCTTCCTCTTCAGATCTCCTACAAATGCTCTCAGATACAAAAATTCCATTCTCAGGAAGTGTTCCCTGGTCATGTCTCTGGAAGCCACTGTTATCCTGAACAGCTGGTCCCACACCCTGTTCTTCTTGCAGCTAGAAAACTCTTTGAGGTTGATAGGCTTTGACCGTGAATGAAGCATCCGAAATTCCACATCAAAGTGCGCAACTGCAGGGCCTGACAGGATCAAAATGTTACTGCTGTTCAGCTTCCCATCTGTCCATGTAAAACTAGCAAAGGAAGAGTGAGAAAATGATGAGTTAATTCAAAATAATCAGTAAAGAAAGTAATCACTAGAAATTCTCCTCATCACATTTAGTTATGTTGTTCTTAGAACCCAACTGATGAGCAGTGAGCTCTTTTAAGAAGAAATGTTGGTCATAAAATCTGATAAGGAAAGCAATTCTTCAGCATTGTTGGTTTTCCTTTCCATGGAGAGAAATCAGATAAAGCAAGAGAAAGAAATTGGCACTTGCCTGTAGGAGCCTGTTGTCACTCTAATGCCATCAATTAACATGAACTTTTCACGGGCTTTTCCAATGATTTTGGTGCCTGACCTGGTGCAGTATGTGCTCCCCGTGATAATCCGAACCCTCATCAACTGTTAAAGACATGGCAAGAGTCAGGTGGACTGCAAAGTTCAGTGATTGCATTTAAAGGAGTAACACGGCAATAACCATCCCTGATGAGCTGCACACTGGCACAAGAGCCACCCACTAGGAACCAAGTGAGGATTTTGTCTTGTTTTTGTAGGCAAAGAGGTGACATTAAGGGGCAAACCCATAAACTGACTGTGCAGAACGGACTGTGAAAATTCCTGTCACCTAATCATCAGGATCCAAATTCCACAGACTCCTGTGCACCTGCTTCTTCCCTCAGCCTTCAAAGTCTCAGCGAGCCCAAACAACTCCAGTCATGCTTTAGGAACTGGACATTCCTCCTGCATTTCCTTGAACATTCAATTAGTATTTGTGCTCAGAAAGCAGCTGTAACATCCAATTAGAAAGGTTTCAGATTTTCTATTTTCTATTGCTCTCTTATGTAAGAATAGTTAAATCTTCCAAGATAGAACTGGAGCTACATAAAACCCATTTTAAGTTGTGGCAGCAGGTGTAATAATTTCTTCTTTTTACAGCTTAAAGATTATAGCCCTACCCCTATAAATACAACAAGGCTCACCTTTTCCTCCTCAAGGTCAACTCTCAGATCCTTGCACATTTTTAAAAAGTGGGAAAATGAAGACTGATCTAGAAGGATATACACTTTAACTTGCCATTGGCTACAGGCTTCCAAGAGGTCTGTGAAGATATCAGTGTCTGTGAAGGAATCCATAACCAGGGCAATCATCTGAAACAAGTATCAGAAGAAACCATTAGGCTGTTTCCACAGCATCAGAAAGCGGATAGCACATGAGAAACTTGAGTTTCAAATTAAATACTCCCTCCTGCCTTTTTTTCAGGTGGTTATGGAACATGGTACAGCAGTCTTCTGTGATAAAGAGTATTCTTCCTCACCCTGAGATAGAATTAGACCCCTGTATTTGCCCTATGTTAGGCAAATTTGATCTCTTCCTAAGCAGGAGAGGTTTTTTTCTTGAGAACAGATGTCTTTTCCTCAAAAGCATTGCCAGAAGAAAAGTTGAGCTTACTTCCAATACTACAGTTTTCCACAATTTCAGCTTATCAAATATAAAAAGAAACAGTAAGAAAACCCAAAACCACACGTGTCTGACTGCTCTTTATATCTTAGCTCTCTGTTGAGGATAAAAGTGAGGTTGGTCTTCACCTTATAATTCAGACTCTCATATTTCAAGTCAAGATCTGAATAAAACATCCCTTGAAGCCAGCTCCTACCCCCTGCAGATTTTCCCCATGGACTGAACCCCAGGATTTGCCGTGGATCCTCCGCAGGATGGGGAAACAACGGCAATTTCAGAGACCTGGGAATGGGCACTCCGCATTTATCGCTCACGGGGCGCCAACTCCGAGGGAACTCAGCGGCACCCAGAGAGCCCGGACTCGGTTTTCAGCAGTATGGGGGTGAAAAAGCTGACAAATTATGAACCTGATTTAAAACCAAAAGGTGTTGGGAAAAGCAATACGAAACAGCGGAGTAATTAAAAACGGAGGGTTATACAGAGCACGCGAAGCGGGGCAGGGGAGAGTGGCCCGGCAGGGCAGAGCGGGGCGCTGCCGGGCACTCACTCACCTGCCGGGCGGAGCGGATCTGGCGCCGCACCGCCTCCTTGCAGCCGTAGATGCTGTCCCCGCAGCCGGGCTGGAAATGCGCCTCCACCCGCGTCAGCCCGCGGAAGGCGCCGCTGGCGAAGCCCGGCCAGCCCAGCTCCAGCGCCGGCGGCTCCAGGTCCGAGCGCTCGGGGAAGTAGGTGAGCGACGAGGCGTCCAGCGAGGCGCCGGCCGAGCGCTCGGCCGCCGGCTCCGAGCCCGCGGCGGGCGGCAGCGCGGCCCGGGCGATGTCCTGCACCTCGGGCTCCGACAGGAAGGGCGGCAGCTGCTCCCGCCGCAGGAAAGCCCGCAGCGCCTCGGGGCCGCCCGCCACCAGCTCCTCCAGCGCCAGCCGCTGCGCCTCGCTGTACGGCCCGGCCGGCGGCGGCCAGCGCCCCGAGCCCTCCTCCAGACACTGCGACGCGCTGCCCATGGCCGGAGCGCCCCGCCGCTGCCCCGCACCTTTATAGCGCTCCGCGGTGCCTCCCGCCCCGCTCCGCTCCTCCCGGCCGCTCGCCCACGGCACAGTCGCGGGTGGCACAGCCCGCAGCCTTCTCCACCTTCTCCACGCCCAGGGAAGAAGCGCCAGCCTCGAAGGAGGAAGGCTCAGCCCAGCCCTGGGCCTGCTGCCCAGCCTGGATCAAAAGGATGCTCTGCTCCTAAGGTTGGAAAGGGCAAATGGCCCCAGCCGGAAAGGAGCAAGCGCCGACGAAATGACTTATGACGAAATGACTTAGTCACCCCGATTTAAAATGCCAAATAAACAGAAAACAAATCTCAGATGATCAGGTGAAAGCCCCATGGCAAAAAGGAGTTTATTTGTAAACTGGTTCTTGTTTCTGTTAGAGTACCTTAACAGCTGCACGGTATAATAAAGCTAAAAAGCACATAGAACAAACAAGGTAATTTTACATTCATTCAAGAACTGCAGGACTTGAGCTCTTAAAAATACAACTCGATATTGGCTTTGAAGGTGTAATCTTGGCTCCCTCCCTGCAACTTGGTTTGGTGCCAGTGTTCCAGATCCACGAATCAAGCAATAAATTCCTTATCGCTTTGAACAAGTGCAGACAGAACTTTTTTCCCCACCTCCAGCTTTAGTGAAGGAGTGGCTGCTTAGAAATCCCAGCAGTAAAGGTAGCTAAGCCTCGTTGTTCATATTGATTTCAGACAGAAATGCCAAAGTTAGTTACTCTGAACACTTACAGCCCTTTTGAGTTATGGATATTTTTATTCATTCATTCATTCATTCATTCAGTACTCCAGCCAACAGCTGAAATGTGCCATCTACTGGACACACGTGCCCCTAAATAAAAAAAATACACAACCCAGACTCCAATTTGATTTGGCAGAATTCAGTGTGGTTGGTCACTGAAGTACTGAGATGCAGATCTAAAGAAAAACAGTACAGGCCAGATCTCAGGGAGAGACTGCAGCCACTGCTCAGGTAAGAGACCCAGGAAGCACAGACATGCACAGAAATCTGCAAACAGATAAAGGCTTTGCAAAGCAACCAAACCTCAGGTCCACTCAACATTGGAAGTATCTTCAAAATCCAGAGTGGCACCTTAGTTCCTCAAACCAAGTTAGTAGTGGAAAAATGATAGAGCAGGAAAGAGTAATTCAGACAGTACAGTTAAAAAGAGAAAACTTTTTTACTTAATTCCTACAGTGATTTGTAAATTAACATTACCCAATAAACCCATAACATTCCGTAGTGCATTTGTCAGTTTACTTTTGAACAGGGGCTTTGTCACATGCACTCAGTGATTGTCTCTCCATGGAGCTCACTGCAAAGAAGGAAACACACACACACACAGATATTTCTATATCTCTAAGAAAAGGCAAAAGCATGGTTGAACTAAAGGGCTAGTTAGCTCATTCAGAAGGCTTAAACAATGGAAAAATAATACACTTGAAGATAACCTGCAACTGTTTCAACAGACTCTTTTTAACTTTAGTGTAAGAGTAACATAGATCACAGAAGTTAGAATAAAAAACAGCTCTTTGTAAAAGCTGATCCCTCTCCTGTCAAAGATAAAGTGGACATAAAAGCCAATATTGGAAAAAAAGATTGAGAATTCCTTGATATAAGATAGATCTCCGAAGCTACTGTGAGCAAGTTCAGTGTGACTCAGATTTTTCCAAGTTTACATAAATTAAAACTAGGGCATTAGCAATCCTGGAAATCAGTAACAAGTTCAGTTTTGAGGTTAAATACCCAGAATTAAAATGATCTTCACCACTAATGCAGGAACCTCTAAGTTGTTACCATAAAATGTCTCTTTTTCATCACTTACATTGCATAGTATAAAACAAAGTGCTGGGGAGCGGTGTGTTAAAAAAGTATCAAAGAACTAAAAGTGCTGGATGGAAGTGGAAGAATCTTTAGTGACAAAGTGACAGCAACGTGAGACTGGGGTTTGTGTGTTGTGTGGTCAGGGCAGGGATCATTTTCTCAGGGCAAAGAGCGAGGCGTGGCGGAGGCTGCGCAGGCTGGCGCTGATGTCGCGCCTCTGCCTCAGGCTGCAGCCGCCGGGGTACTGGCTCATGTAGCTGGCAGGGACACGGCCCCGCCGGGACAGGATATCCACCATGTGGCTCAGCTTCGACCTGATCGTGGAGTAGTGGAATTGCCTCTCTTTGTGCAGTTTCTGGAAATATTGTGCCCTGTGACTACTGGAATATTCAAAGGACCGGAGAGAGGATATTGAGCCTGTAGAGCTTGCAAGAGAGCGCTGGGATGATGATGAAGACAATGAGTGCAGGCTAGAACTGGATATGGCCTTTCCAGACAGAAAATACTCTTCTTTTGACAACTTTCTGGGAAGGAGGGGTGTTTCTGTGCCATTCTCTTCTTTTGTCTGTGTCACTGCAGTCTTCAGCAAAATGGATGTCTGAGTGCCTGTCACTCTGGCCGTGACAGAAGCCTGAGTGCTAGTGTCTGCTGTGGCAGCGCTGGCCTGAGTGGCTGCATTACATTTTGTCACAGTTGCCATCTCTTCCCACGGGCCAGTTTGAGTTGATGCACTTCTCTGTTCCACTGTGGCCACTTGATTGCTGAACGACTCCTCTTCACACAGGCGAGAAAGCTGCAGGTTACAAAGCTTTCCTGCAGGAGTATATTCAGTTTGATCTGCTTTTTCCAGCAATTTCTTTGGAGTGCTAGACAGTCTGGCAAATTCTGCTCTCAAGTTGCCTTCCACAGTATATTCTTTAGAGGATTCTGTTCTGGTCAGCAGGTGATCAAACATGCCACTGTTCCTGCAGCTGGACGGTTGCTTTGGGCTGATGGGTAGTGACTGGGCATAAAGAATCCTGAACTGGAGGTCAAAGTGTTCAACCACTTGACCTGACAACACCAGCAAGTTGCTGCTGTTCAGCTTTCCATCAGACCATGTGAAACTGTTGAAAACAAACCAAGACTCACAGTTAATCTCCAGTGCATTTCAACAGTAAGCGACAGACAGCAAGACTCAGCTTAAAACTGAAGGCAAGGTAAGAAGGCAGCAGACTATTCATTTCTGCAGGAAGAACTCTATTTAGGCATGGCCAAGCTCTCTGCTAGCAACAAGCTGAGTAAACGAGTTTTCCAAAGGTGTTTTCAGATTTGCATCAGCCCCACTTCAACTCAGCTAGTCCGTGTGCCATTGGCACTCATTAACACCAGGCAAACAGCAAAGTTAACACATCGTTTTGCAGCAAATCCCCATTTCTACAGCTTCACTGGGCACCAGCAGACCCCAAATACTTGCCTGTAGGAGCCTGTTGCCACTCTAATGCCATCAATTAACATGAACTTCTCCTTGGCTTTCCCGACAATTTTGGCACCTGACCTCATGTAGTATGTGCTCCCTGTGAGAGTTCGAACTCTCATCATCTGGTTCAGAAAAGCAAGGAAAAAAGTGACATCAAATTTAAGTTAACTTGCAAAAATCTTTGATTAGCAATTCTACTTAAAAGCTGCTAAGCACAGTATGGAAGATAGGAATGAAATTGGCTTTTTTATACAGTCTGCGTGAGTGGTTTTAGTCACGCAGTGCTAAATTCCTGTTAGATTAGGTGAGAACAGTTCAAATTAGCTATTGCCCAGGAAGGCAGGAGTGTTCTTCCCCCTCCAGAGAAACTTTTACTGCAGTGAACATAAGCCTATCCAAGCCAAGCCATAACAAAGACATGTCCGTTTATATTCACAGCGGCTAAGCAAATCACCTGGCTCACATCATCCAAATCCTCTTAAAAGAAAGTATTAGGAAAGAAAGCAGATGATACCAGAGCTGTACCACCCTTTAGCTTCCCACGTTTATGTTTTCCTGAGCAAGCAGTTCCTTGAGCCAAAGAATAAAACTATTTAAACATTGCAAAATTAAATTGCTGCATCCTGAGGACAGGGATCCCAGTGCACACAGCACATGGGGTTGGTGCACATCATGGTTGTAGCTCCTACATATGGGCAACACACAGGTTGCTTTAGCCTTTCAAGGCAGTCTGATGCCTTATGGAAAGGTTTTTTTGATATGTATAAAGTGTACCACAAAAATAAAAACAAACCACACTGACCCCAATTTAGTACTTACACTTTCCTGCTCAGGACAAACTCCCAAATTGTTGCACATTTCCAAGAAATGGGGTACAGAGTCCTGGTCAAGAAGGATGTAGACAGGGACTTGGCGGTTGTTATAGGCATCCTGAAGGTCACTGAAGATCTCAATGTCTGTGAAGGAATCCATCACAAGGGCAATCACCTGCAAGGAAAGCCACATCACTTACTCAAGGGACATATTCTACACAAGACCACTGCCTCCCCCAGCCATTTTCTCCTGCTGTTAACATCAGGGCCTCATGCACATTTCCTTGTCCTCCTGCACAGGCTCTGGCAAGTTATAAAAGATTTCTATATTCCCACAACACTCCTGTAAATTCATTTTGCCCCAGCATGCAAAGCATAGGCCTGAAATGGTTTTTCATCTGTCTGCTGCTTTTGTACACTTTCACATCCTCCTTTCCTACACAACCCCCTGTAATGTGGCCAGACTGGGGAAGCTATCACAGTGGAATCTGACAAACCATCCAGACAAACCATCTCCACATCTGTTCTCCCAGTGTTTCAAGCAGCTACAGGAGAATTAGCTCGAATGGCCTCCTTGCTGACAGATCTCACAAACCCCAGCTGATTTCCAGACCCTTCCTGGTTTCTATACTCTCACTGAGTTTCTATCCCTTACCTTCAAAGGAAATCCCTCCATTCACCCAACAGTTCTTTCAAAAAGGCAAATCCTAAAATGGGAATATCACATGTTTAACCATCTCTCCAGCTAATTCAGAGCCACCTCACACACTGATTTGTTGCTTGAGTCCTCACCCTTCCAAACCACTTCTGTGTAAGAACACAAAGGCAGAAATGATTCAACTTTATGACTGAATTTTCTGCTTTTCTATTAAACCAGCATAAAGAACAATGAGAATACAACCACCGTGGGTACCTGGCACTTGCCCTTATCAGATGGAGGCTGCTGCAGCACACCCAAGGTGTATAAGCACGCAACACAGCTGCTCTGTGTGTGGCACAGCCTGCACTTACAGGAAACCTTTCCCACAGGAACAGGCTGAGCTTTGCATTCCCACCTCTGTCCTGCTCCCTAAGGGGCTGGCTCTGTTTGGCTGAGTTCTGACATATAACGTGCACAAA